GAGAAAGTGGACAGCCTTGACGGACACCACTTGAGGTTGCAAAAGTAGATGACAGTTCGCCATAAGCCCTGACTCGACTAGTAGTGTTCGAGTAAAGAGCCTTCACAAGGTTTATGTACTTCTGAGGTACGCCTTTCAATGACAGACACTGCCACAGAGTCTCGCGGTCTACCGAGTCAAATGCTGCTTTTAAGTCAAGAAATACCACCATCGTCGGACGCCGATAGGTATGTCTGTGTTCTAGAACCTGACGAATGGTGAATATGTGGTCGATGCAGCTACGACCAGGTCTAAAGCCAGCTTGGTTCTCTCGTGTTTGCAGTTCACGAGTCTTAGTTAGGCGTCTGATAATTATCGAGGCTAGTATTTTAGATATTATATTAGTTAAACTAATCCCTCTGTGGTTGTCACAGGATGATTTTGACCCTTTCTTATATATTGGGACGATAAGTGATTGCGACCAGTCAGATGGGATAAAGTCTAATTCCCAGATCTTAGCAAAAATATTAGTCAACTTAATCGCCAAAATTGAACCACCATGCTTAAAGACCTCTGGAGCAAATCCATCTGGACCAACTGCCCTTCCTCGTTTCAGATTAACTATAGCCTTTTGAACTTCAGCAAGAGTCGGGGGACCTACTTCAATGTTCCATTCACACTGCCTGGGAATGGAGGGTAGTTGTAGAGTAGCTGAAGGCCAGCTGAACTGTTCTCTAAAATGTTCCGCCCATCGTTCTAAACGTCTGGACTTGGAGCAGATGAGAGTATCATCTTTTTCCGAAATAATCTCACTTACACTTGACTTATTAATTCCAGTTTCTTTTATTAGTCTGTAAAGCTGTCTTGTGTTCCCTATAGTCGCCGCCTTTTCCATCTCTTTTGCTTTCGTTACCCACCACTGCTCACGGTCGTTCTTTAGACTTTTTCTTAACCTAGATCTGATTTGTTTTCGCTCTTCATCATGTTCAGGACCTGATGGGACGAGTTTGCGAGAATCCATCAGTGTGACAGACCTTGAAGAAATCCACTGGTTCCTTGCAACTCTGTGGTTTAAGTCACTAATAGATGTCACTGCTGTTTCCACAGCTGATTGTATGCCCTTCCAAGCAACATCTGGGTCAGCCTCGTCTTCACAACTACCTAAGTGTGACCTCAGTTGTTCCTGGAACCTACTTTTGGTTTTCTCGTTACTCAACTCAGTTCTAACGGGTCTTTTTAATGTGGCTTTTTTGCGTCCAGTGAGGCGCAAGCAGATGCGTGCCCGTATTAGGGCATGGTCGGAGTCCAAGCAGGTACTCCAGAATGAGGGCGCTATCATCTCGCGATCCCCAACCAGGTAGTTTACAAATACCAACATGTCTCAGTCCGCTTGTCAGTGACTTCATGGACTTGTGCCATGTTTTGGTCTGGCCTCCCCCCAGCTTTCTTCCAACCTACACCTATACCAGTGAACATCGCTCGTCGAGTCAGTCGGTACTTGGGCATACGTAACACGTGTCCCAGCCATCTCAACTGATGAAGTTTCACTAGGTCATCAATTGATTTGCTATCCTTACCTAGTACCCGTTTCCTAACAACTGCGTTACTTACTCGATGGTCCCAGGATATAAGTGCAATGTTTCGAAGACACCTATGATCAAATACTAGTAACCTACCAATATCCTCTACTCCTACTGCCATAAAGTAGGACGGAACGAACTGCTGCGCAGTAAACACGTCCTTTGGTTGATAGACGGACATCTCGCCTACGACATAAATGACGCAAGTTGGTAAAAGCTAGTCGACCCTTCTGTATCCGTGCTGCGATTTCGTCGCACACCAGACCACAAGAGCTGATGAGAACCCCAAGATAAGTGAAGCAGTCGACACGCTCAACTACTTCACTTCCTATCATTAGTTCGGGTGTCGATGCAACTCAATCCTGAAGCAACATTTTGCATTTCGAGGGGGAGGATCACATCCCGAACATGCTTGCATTGTTGCTTAGAGTGGTCAGAAGACACTGCGCGTTTTGTCAGCGTCTTCATCAAATAGAACTATGTCATCGGAATATTCTAAGTCAAAAAGTGAATCACAAGGTAGGAGTTCAACCGCTAGAAATTTAGATGAGGAAAGTGTCATCTCTAAAAGCACGTCCACGACAAAGTTAAACAAGAATGGAGAGAGTGGACAGCCCTGACGAACACCACTTGTGGTAATCAATTCTGATGACAGTTCACCATAAGCTCTCACTCGACCTGTTGTGTTCGAGTACAGAGCCCTTACAAGGTTAATGTACTTCTTTGGTACTCCTTTCAGTGACAAACACTGCCATAGAACCTCACGATCAACAGAGTGGAACAGAGTCAAACGCCACCTTAAGGTCGAGAAATACTACGATTGTGAGGCGTCTGGATGTATGTCCATGTCCTAGGACCTGACGTAGTGTGAATATCTGGTCTATACAACCACGTCCAGGTCGAAAACCAGTCTGGTTTTCTCTAGTCTACTCTTCACGAGCTTTAGTTAGGCGTCGAAGTATTGTTGAAGCTAATATTTTAGACACTATATTAGTCAAACTGATTCCACTGTGATTGTCACAAGAGGACTTTTGTCCTTTCTTATAGACTGGCACAATCAGTGATTGAGACCAGTCAGATGGGATTACGTCCAGTTCCCAAATTTTACCTAGGACCTCAGTAATCTCACTGCTAATACTGGACCACCATCCTTAAAAATCTCAGGAGTGAACCTGTCAGGGCCTGCTGCTCTCCCTCGCTTCAGATTTCCTATAGATTTCTCAACTTCGTAAAGAGTTGGAGGACTTACATCAACTTGCCATTCAAGTCTACTGGAGATCGTGGGAAACCGAACTGTGGCTGAAGGCCAGTTGAACTGATCCGTAAATTTCCTGCCCATCGACCCAATCTCACGGATTAAGAGTGAGTAGTGTGTCCATTTTTTTCCGAGAGAGTTTCACTAACAGTTGCGTTCCTAATACCAGTTTTCTTAACAAGTCGGAAGAGTTGTCTGCTATTACCTATTGCCGCTGCCTTTTCCATCTCTCTTGCTTTCGCTACCCACCACTGTTCACGATCATTGCGTAGGCTTCTTGTCAGCTTGCGCTTAAGCTGACTCCGCTCTTCGTTATGTTCACAACCAGATGGAATGAGTTCTCGAGCATCTATCAGTGCGGTAGATGCAGCTGAGATCCAGTGTTTCTCCCTAACCTTTTGGTTTACCATACTAGCAGATACCACTGCTGTTTTCATAGCTTTTCGGATATCATTCCATGCTGCATCGGGGTGGGCATTACTTACATGGCTGCCTAACAGTTCTCCTAGTTGTTCCTGAAATATACTCTTAGCTTGACTATCATTAGGTAGGACCCTAAGAGGTTTCCTTGCAGCGTCTTTCCTACGTCCAGTAAGACGCAACAAAATACAAGCCCGCACTAGAACATGACCTGAATTTAGGCATGTGCTCCAGAATGAGCGACAGTCTTCGATAGAAGAGCCCCTCCATCGGTGGCTGATAGCGATGTGATCTATTCGGGTCCAACGTTGGGACGAATTAGGGGGTCGCCATGTCGAAAGATGCTTTTCCTTATGCTTAAAGTTAGTGTTTGCAAGAAACAGGAGGTTATCTGAGCATAGCTGTAACAGACGGTCGCCATCATCTGTTCTTTGAGTCACGACACCATAATATCCACGCAGGTGTCTTTCCCTTTTGCTTAGTTAACCTACTTGAGCATTAAAGTCATCAGCCACTATTACTTAATAAGAGCGCCTAGCTTTTCGGAGGTCGGAAAGCTTTCTGTAAAACTCATCTCCTACATCATCTGAGCTGCAGTCAGTGGGAGAATAGGCATAGACGACGAATAGGCAACGACGAGTGTCCCTATCTTTCCGAGTCCTTACTGTCCCGTTTAGTCGGACAGCGCACAAACGACTGTCTACTGGGATCCAGTCTAACAGAGCTAGTTTTGCCCTAGGAATCAATGCTATACCTACATCAGCGAGGCCACGAGAATCAGCATCAGAGCTTTCAGATACACGAAGCGTGAATCGAGTTGGTTCTTTATTTTGACAAATGAATGACGCTACTCGGATCCTGTATGCGCGTTTCGAAGACGCAGCACACATCGATGGCACGAGATTCTAAAGTCCCAACTGAGGAAGCCTGTTGTCCTATTTGGCACAGTGTTCAGACGTTAAAAGCTCCTACGTGTAGTTTAGAGAGTGGTTACAGTAGGTCAGGAATAACGTTCCGCGTACTCGAATCGTTTGCACTAGCGGTAAGAGGTGATAAAGGGACGTGAGAAGGGTTAGTCGTGGAGATATGACAGGTATTAGGAGGTATAGGAAGAATTTGAATGTGACCAACTTGGTCTTGTGTGCTGTTACGGGTATGAGAGCTGATATCACTTCCCGGCTGCCAACACCGTGGAAGGGTATTTCTTGAGGAACCTGAAAAGGAAATCGGACTAGTGTTGGTCTTAACGACCTGGGAGCGTGACCGCAGAGCCCAGCGGACAACTGCTTGAGGCCGGTTGCGCAAAGCCTTTTCGTGGAAGGCTTTTAATGTGTTAGCTCCGTTCTTCAAAGGGCCTTACCGCCAGAGACGGAAATCCGTGAGGTAAGACGAAGTGTGACATTTTTAGGGTCGACCTTTTCTAACTCCACCCCTCCTTATGGGAAGGCAGCATCGCTGCAGATGCTGGTTGTCCGAGGGAAACACCTTACTGCTGTCACACCCCTCTACGTTCAGCAGTACGACTTCTCCCTCAGACCTTGAGTTGCTGCTTTTAGTCTTACCGTTCTCCAATCGACCTGCATGGCATGGTAGAACCTACAGGAACATGTCCCAGCCAATATAGCTCGGTTGAGTCAATACGATAGGCAAGCCCGACCACCGCATCAAGGTAGCAGCTACGGTCGGGAAGCGATCAATATACCGTAACAAATTCAAAGGAAAGACAATGACCGATACATCTAGCTTTAAGACAAAACAATTCCACTAAACAGATCAAAAGCTTTCTTTAGAAATAAAGAAAATACAATCAGTATCAAAAGCATTTGAATTATTGAAAAAAAACAAAAATAATACCTGACAAATTAGTCAAATGTTCAAACAACCTTGTGATCTCGTTGTTTACTGAAAAAGAGAACTTCATGAAAGTATGGTTAACAAGAAATGGTGCAAAGAAATCGTCTAGGCAAACGTCTGAGTAAAAATTAGAACAAGTTATGAATGCGAATCGGATGAATAAATACACAAGGAAGTGTAGTCTTTCATATACAATTCAATGATAACTACAAAATAAAAATTACAATAAGTAAAGCGTTAAAAAATCAAAAATATCCATATTTCTGTATAAATAATACAAATAAATGAGCTCAGGCGAAGAAAAGACGAAGCACAGAATATACTCACAGATAAAACGACATGAAAGGATAAGACTACGAAAAATTTTATTGTTTTGGCTTCTTTTCAAAATATTTAAAATCCTAATAAAAGAAAAATTTAAAATGTAGCAATCAGTTAAATCTATATTCAAAGAAATTTTTATGAGCATATATTAAAACCTGTGCATAAATACCGTCTCGCAGTGAACACAATATAATATCAAAGTCAAAATAGAACGTCTACTATTAATATAACAAGTTAGCTCAGATGGTAACGGAGTAATTTAAATATATATAGGGAGAGAAAGTCCAAACGATAAACAAATAAATTATAAGTAGCAAAATAACCAATACAAAACTTAATGTAACTCAGTACTTAAATAACTGTCGTGTATTTGCTTTTAAGTAAACTAGACACAAAGCCAAGTCGAGCAAACTGAAGCAAACAGAGTTAGGTCCGAATCTAAGAAACAATGATAAATATGCTACTGATTGTGATGTAAGTATAAGTCAGATACGGACCAGTAAATCCGGACTAATTTACTAATTTGATATGTTGCAAAATTATAGTCATAATGAAACAAAACTTTCTCAACGTCCCTCTATTATTCTATTAATATTAACCTTAAATTTAAACCTAAAAAATAGTTTATCACATTCGCAATAAATCACAATCATGTTTAGCAAGTGTAACTTACAATCAGAAAAACAGCAGCTAAGAGAATCGCTTTCACTTTCACGTCTAAGTCCATCGGAAAAGAAATTCCAAAATTATCTGCATCAGTAAAGAATTCTTGGACAATATTGCTCCATTTTCTCGTAATTCTACCTATTTCGACAGTACCGTCAGCAGAAGTTACCTTGAAAAGATTATTTAAGAGATATTAAAGATTAATTAACCGGATCAATTCTAAGATCCGCAGGTAAAAACAAACACGAACAATCCTTAAGCTAAATGAGTTAGATGAACATCACGGCGGGTCTCTTTGTATGTCAGTCAGTCATCATCACATAAAGCCTGGTAAAGGTGTGAGTTGACACAAGTTACCATATCACCTTAGTACAGCAAGATGAAATTGACAAGATGTATAGAAAAAGAGAAATAATAAAGTTGCAACGAGGATGAACATGATGAAGCATTGAGAATAGAGTTTAGAAAAGTAGAATGGAGAGGCATTTCTGGAGAAATACTGAGAAGAGAAAATGCGTCTATTCTATTGTGAACAATTCTGAGCCGTATCACTCCAACCACAGATCACGGCTATCACGAAGACCTCAATCAAGTAGTCAACGTCAACAATCATTGAAGTACACAAGAAATGAACGAAATAAGTTTGAAGTGTAGTGACAATAAAATAAAAGTTCGTGAAGAATCTAAAATAATGATAATAATGAAACAAATTTGTATTTCAACTGTTCATCGGTGATTTTTCTTGATGCATGGAGATGAGGCGGGAAAACAAAATCTATGGTGATTTCACAGGCAGGAAAATAGAAAACTTTTGCAAATATCTGGCATCTAACAAAAGACATTGAAACAGACTATATATTCCGTAAAGACTGATTTCAATGTACAACAAATAAAACCGAGTTACAGATTTTTATCACTTCACAACCGATCTTTGTACACTAAGCAAATTTTTAACTAAGCTTAATTTCTTTCCTAAAACATTAAAGAACTAACCTTTTGATAAGCAGAGACTAGAATCACACAAACAAAAATTCCAATAAATATGACAGGTACACTATGAACGATGTACGAAATCCGAAAGAAAAAGGATACAAAAAAACCAGACGAAGTAGATTATCATTGATTGAAATCATGAGTCAATTGAAGCTAGAACACTATGGAAAACCTGGGAGCGCTGGATGGCCGTTTCCTCCTAGACTGATAGATCCTGCGTTCGAATTTCGCGGGGTGCGGGATCGTAGATGCGCACTGCTGAGGAGTCCCATACTAGGACGAAACGGCCAGCCAGTGTTTCCAGGTTTTCCATGGTGGTCTACCCTCAATTGACTCATGATTTCAATCAGTGAAATTTCTAAAATCCCAAAAAACCCCCTTCTGATAAAGTGGATTACCAATAATTTCAAGTAGCACAATGGACAAGATTATACAAAGTGACAAATAAAGTATATTTTGCCAATATTAATCGTCAACAGAAGCAATAATTAAAATGTCAATAAGAAAGTATACCTTAAATATTATATCCGATCCTAAACATTCACAAAAACAACATGATGGACCATGTATTTGCAGAACTGTACTCTGGTTACTATCCAAAATGTGGTAATCAAGATCACAACCACTAAATACTCGTTTCACGTAGCCGATACAATTTCCAGCTGGAGACTGAACTTCAAGTTCCTCTTGACAGCATTCTAAACACCTAGACCAAATCAATTAACACATCAATTAACTTTTACAAAACGAGACAATCTGATCTCAGAAATTACATTAGGAAATCATGTTACGGTAGCAAACGTAATCAATCCCTGATAAAAGTAGTTTCACTAATGATGGATTTGTTCGTAGTCAACAATAATCTAAACCATATTTTTACATCACAAACTAAACTGTGTACTTACAGTTAGTTAAGCAGTGGTTGGTGACACTACAGTACTCGACAGAATCGAAAGAAACCAAATCAATAGACGAATTCGAAAAAGAGAATGACTGTTTTCCCCGTTCTACTGGTTACAGGATGGAGATAACTAACCCATAGAAGAATACACCAAATGTAAACTGAAACCAGCGAGGGATTACCAGCACCACTACATTCTCAATAATATGCATCATTTTCTTAGCCATCTTTTCACCAATATACTGTTATTTCTTAACAGCCTTCAAACTGGGCAAGGTGACAATCCCTTACTTTGATGCACAGTTCTAACTTGAACTAAAGCACGAATGGAAAAGCCTTGATGATGTAGTCATAACACGCCATCACATGAACTAATGACCACACTAAACCTCATTCAAAAATGTTGGTTTCATAAGTTGAATCCATGACCAGGGTGAAAATGGAACACAGCGTTCAAGATAGTATGTGTTAATCTTCAAGTCTTATATCATTAGCTTACCTATAATAATATAGCATTGATTAATCTTGAATTCTGTACAAAGTGAACACAAATTGAATACCTCATTGTCTTTGAGTTTGTATGAATCTGTCGTATTTTCTGTTTTTTGTTGACAGTTAAACATTATTTTCCTCACATAATATTCTAAATGAACAGTTCTTCATTTAGAATTGATCAAAACACTGTCCAAAAAGTACACCTATGATTGATGGGAATGATTAATAAATTTTACGTTATTGGTGCAGTATACTTCAAAGATAATGGCCAATATTCACAAAATTCCTCTTTTACTCAACTAACCTCGTGTAGGAAAACAAAAATCAAGGGCTAATTACTTCATTACTTATATATATAGAAGCTCGGGAGTGTAAAATACTTAACTTCTATAACTGCCCATAAATTAATGTAAGGACTTTCAAATGACTTTGGAATAAGCTTATTTGTATAGCAAATTCAGAAGTGAAAATATATCAATACTAGTTCGCTAATCAGAGAAAATTTAAGTTTCTTTTGCATACCTAAAGCCTCAATTGTTGTTTCGTATGTAACATTTTTCTGTTTGCTAGTGGAAACTAATCCATCCTCATGTTTTCACGGTTGTATTCTCAAGACTGAAACATTTATGGCTCTGACCAAAAGCTCTAATATATTTCTCGAAAAAATAAGAATATGTAGCAAGCTTGTACTAGTATAACGAGATCAAGCCCCATTACTTATTTAGGTTTACAGCCGGAGATGTAAGCTAATGTAATAATCTAGACGTATAAAAGATGTATGTAAAATGTAAGTATTAAGATAGAAATTTAATTTTTACTAAACTAATTGTAAATGAAAAAATATGATGCAAAGACAAGTTGGAAGGTTAGTGTACACATGAAAAGATATCAAGCAGATGACTTAAAACATTTAAGAACAGAATTAGAATAACTCAATAAGAAAATATGTAGCAAAAATTAAGATATGTTCGTCATGTGTACAAAATCTGTGGACATAAAAAAATTTACTGAAATAATTGGGAGTAGATTGGTTACTTTCACAAATGCATACCGAACTGAATAAACTGACATTAGACTAACGTCAAACCCTTTCGATAAACCACTGATATAATGGGGACAAGAAGAACAGAGATTAAGAATAATCAAAATCAGTTAGCAATAAAGTATTTTGTCCAGGCAGGTTTGTAAGTGTTCAGGATATTATTATACATACTTCACCATTAAATAAGCGTCTCAATGTGAGTTGAAATGAATACAAGAAGGAATGAACAAATGCAATTTAGTGTGAAATGACTTCAAAACAGCTGGGACAAAAACTACTTATGTCAAACAACTACCTTTTTTTTAATAGATAAACATTTGATAGAAATTAGTCATAAGATCAACTTGAAAAGTTTTAAATCTTTTTCTACAGATGCTACTATGAGTGTAAATGTAAGTCTGTTGATATTTTCGTAATTTTTGTTTTCAGATCCTCTTTGAAGTATTTAAAAATAATTTGTTCCTACGTTAGAATTTCCTCGGCAATTAATAATGAATCTCAATCTCAAGATTGATGTTATGACGTACGTACTTCTTTAGCATTATTATAAGATTTTTGTAAATCTCATAACACATCATTGATTTACATAAATTATTTAGTCATAAATTAAAGTGTCTTTACCATGTAAATTTGATCAGCTTGTGAAAAAGAAATTACGCAAATAAATAATCAATTTTTTTAAAGTAAAACTTCAGTATTTTCATTACAATAAGTAAAACCGTGGAAAAAAACACTTGTATTCCAAGTAAAACAGTAAAGGTGATATCATAAAAGAAAAAAAACTTATTATACTTACGAACAACAAGGGTAACAATCACATCGAAAAGGTCGAATTGCACGGATAACTTCAGAGTTATTATTGTTTAAAATATGTAATACGAAAGGTCTTGATGCTCCACAGAATGCACGTGAACAAAAGTCAGATTCTACGTAAAATAGAAAGATTACAAAACCCAAATTAATTAGTACCGTTAAAATTTATATACGAATAAATATACCTGTTTTGCATCACTCATTAATCAAGATAATAAAAATATTGTTCAGACAATTTGAAAACAATGGAAGCTAAACACATCACTTAGTGGGAATACACTATTCAGTACTGCGTATGTATCATTACCAAGGTTTGATTTGATAATTTCGAATAAATTGAGCATTGAGTAGATTGTTTTAAATAAATAATATATTTGTAATATCCCAATGAGTAAAAAATCAGATTTTCTGACCAATTTTCTACTCATTGGGATATTGCAAATATATTATTTTTTTATATTCAGTATTACGTTGTATGGTTCTCAGAACTAACCGAATCGACAATCGAATACTCTGCAACCTAGGTTTTGTATTTTAACCAATGAAAGAACTTAGAAAAATTACACTTGATACTTTACATTGATCATTTACCGTTCAGTAAATAACACATGGTTTAGCCCGTAGTCAGTGGTTGAAAAGTATGCTAGCTAAGGGTCAAAACGCTCAGAAGTAACGTCTTCAACGTCAGCACAACAAGGCTAAGGTTCGAAAACCCGCAGATATAACTGGCTGGTAACTGCTAATTAACACCCCCGCTGGTTTCTCTACTTCCTGAAACTTAGCTCTAACTAAAATGTCGATATCATTAGTAAACTGTATTTACAAAATAACACAGTCTAAATAAAACAATCAACAGTAATAATCAAATACACTAGAGAAGACTAGTCATAAAATATTTAAAAAGTGCAGAACGGTGTTGTTATTTTTAAGGTTTCTTATAACACCCATACATTTAGCATAGTAAAAAGAGTTTTGATATTAAACCGTTAAATAAGAAAAACAGAATTCAGCGAAGAAAATTTTCTTTTCGACGAAATCATTTACTTAAGCTGTACATTCGTATATATAGTTATATGGAAAATGTATGTCTATAGAACGATAGAATGGATTGTATCACAAAAAATGGATTCGACAATAAATAACAAATGAGGTTAACGTACTAATCAAGGGGTAAGGAAGAGCAAAATTTAAGGGTCAGATATTAGTCCAATTGATAGATATGAAGAAAAACGACGAAACAACAAAGGTCATAACAATAGACTGAATAATAATCAAGAAAACTCGTAAAAGGTCATAATAATAAATGATTAGAGTTTAAAGTGCAAAATAGTAATTTAAAATATCGATAATAATAAAAGTGCAGAAAAAACACAAAAACAAACCTAGAAACATACCCATTAAGGGAATTAGGACCAGGGAAGGATGAGAGGTTGGACAAATCGTATCTGCACGCAAAATTCAGGCTTTAGTTTGTGGATTGCCAATGCCTCTGGGGTGCATAAAATATTGATTCGAACCCCTTTCGATCCAGTTCCTTTGACTCTGTAAACTATCTATTGTCATTGGAACGAATTCGCCTGATCCTTGAGGGTAAAGAATGAATTAAGTTCCTTTTTCTAATTAATGGAACCCAACTGTGGAAGTTCGTGTGTTGTCCATTCCAAGTGGGTTTTCTGTATATCGATCTCTGTAATAGACCGTCAGGCATTCTTTTTTAAATGGATATCGAGAAAATGAAATTCGTGGTTTGTCTCTGCTTCTAAGGTGAATTGGATTGATGGGTGGCAGTTATTGAAAATATTCAAAATATCATTGAGGTCACTAACTTCTTCGCAAATAATGAAAGTGTCATACATATATCTTTTATATAAATGAAATCTTTCAATTATTGGTCGAAGTACCGAATTTTCTAGGTTCGCCATAAAACAATCAGCCAGGAGAGGACCCAATGGAGAGCCCATTGCAACTCCATCTATTTGTTTACAGAATATTTTATGCACCGCAGAGGCATTGGCAATCCACAAACTAAAGCCTGAATTTTGCGTGCAGATACGATTTGTCCAACCTCTCATCCTTCCCTGGTCCTAATTCCCTTAATGGGTATGTTTCTAGGTTTGTTTTTGTGTTTTTTCCTGCACTTTTATTATTATCGATATTTTTAAATTACTATTTTGTACTTTAAACTCTAATCATTTATTATTATGACCTTTGTTGTTTTGTCGTTTTTCTTCATATCTATCAATTGGACTAATATCTGACCCTTAAATTTTGTTCTTCCTTACCCCTTGATTAGTACGTTAACCTCATTTGTTATTGTCGAATCCATTTTTTGTGATACAATCCATTCTATCGTTCTATAGACATACATTTTCCATATAACTATATATACGAATGTACAGCTTAAGTAAATGATTTCGTCGAAAAGAAAATTTTCTTCGCTGAATTCTCTTTTTCTTATTCAATGACACTATGGATTATTTTAATAAACCGTTATTTAGATAACAAACAACTTGATTTGATGTTTTGTAAGATTATCGCGGGGGTTATTATTTTGTTGTTAATGATCCTATCGTCTTGCTATTGTCTTGTTAACTTATAACATATTCTCATTTTGAAACAAGCAAGCACCGTTTCTTAGCAATATATTTGAAATAAAATTCCAGTGTTAAATTTTACAGTAAATCTTAAAACACTTATATAACTTACCTTCGTAACATCGATATACACTTTGTCCCAATGTGTTGTAGCAGGTATAGCGATTTTGCACTTCATAAGGCACGAATGCTGTATGCAGTTGTATGGGAAAAATATGTCATGGTAAGCGAATTCAAACAACTTCCTTGCGTAAAATGCAAAATACTATCAATAGAAGCTAATTAAGTTTAATAATCTTTAAGAATGGAAGCCGCACTGAACACGTTATTGGTAAGCTTTATCATAGGACTTATCAGTACCTTTATTTAATATCAAGCACGCAAATATAATTCAAAATTATTTTTTGTTTACATTGTCAAACCTATCACGTTGTGTCTACTCTCTTAACGAGCGACTTTTAATTTAGAACTTCATTAATATATCTCAGTAATGTTGTTAAAAAACTCATACTGAAAAAAATTAGCTATGTCAAATCTAAGCAATACATATGTTGAAAACATCAACTTTAAACTGATTCAAAATTAAACCAACTTCGTAGCCTAATACAAGCTGAAAATAGATAAACTATCTTCCAAAGTTTGTTTGTCTGATTATTTGCTATGAATAAATCACTGAATTATTTTACCAGCTAAGCTTAGCTGGTCACTACTTTTTCTGAGGTAACGTTAACAAATACAAACAATTATCTGCTAATATCTGTTTTCCACTCCTTACGTCTTTTACCAGAAAGTTCTCGTGAAGAGTTGATAAGAACTACCTAGAACTAATTTTCGCTGATTCATGAAACTCATTGGAACAGCAGCGATAATTGAAGATATTTTGTTTAAAGTCGCTTACTTGATGAGATACCAGGCATCAAACAGATTTTGCTCCAATGTATAAGATGAATAAGAACATACTTGACGATTTCATTAGCAAGTCTAGCTAATAAAAAATCTAGTAAAATATTTGTCAAGTACATTGACATGCACATAGATTCAGTTAAAACATTTAGGAAGGTAACTGATCTTTTAGAGAATCACTGCAACGGTTATAGATAACGACGGAACTATGTTACTAACAAAGTGAATGGCAGTAATTACCTTGTCAAGAACCTTTATTTACGACTGAAGATTATCAACTGGGACCGTAATAAAGCTTCTATTTGAGCTCAAAACATGTATACCCAATTCATCAACCACAAGAACACATAATTATTTACTCTTCCAACATATGAGGAGATTTCGGTTGGTTTCTCCTTTCAACCCATCGGACTGTGAGTAAACGGTTTCTAACTTGAAAGTAAACTAAATGATCCTAACTTTTTGAGGAAGTTTCGAAAGGCAATTTGTGCAAACGTAGATTACCGAAATAACTAAAGTTCCCAAAAATGATAAAAATAATTATTCGGAAGAGAATCATTATGACTAAAAAGATCATTTGATTAACACAACAAATAATGTGAATATTAGAAACATTACCACCCATCTCGAATCTAACTTGAAGATGGCTTAGGCTAATTTGTAAGTACTAAACGCAAACACTAACTAAGCAAGCATAAGTCCATAACAATGTGGAAAGGTTGGTGGAAGGAAGATATGCAGAAACCAGTAAAAGGATGAAACGTGTAAATTAATAGCAGGTCACTTGATGGCTAATTAGAATATGTAGAAAATTGATGAAAAATCTACGATAACATTGCCCAGAATCACAATGAAAGCTCTGCATACGTTCCTTACTGTAGATTAAAATAAACTCGTCTAATAATCCTTACTGACAGATTCACATAGCAAAATTTCTACCGAAAAATCGACAATACTGTGATTATTAACCGGCATAAGCGAGATAATTAAAAGTAACTATTAAGCTGTTTTATGAGCAGTTTCAGATATATGCTTAAGTTTTTTATCAACAGTCCATATAAAGCACCAAGATTACCAGTACTATTTGTAAGCAGAACCATATTTTGAGGTGATGTTATATGTAAAAACCTATTAACTCTTTAAATAAACTCACTGTAATTGTTAAGCTATATGCTAATGCAGATGTCTAATCAGGCATAAATTACTAGCAGATACTTTACGATTCCTGAAGTTTTTTTGTCATTGATCAGTTAATAAACAACGGAATATTTTCTTACATTTTATAATGACGGCGGTTAACTATTTACTGACACTCGTAAAATTCATATAAGTAAAATTAGGGTTATAAAACTTAATCCCCACTTGAGCACTGATTTTCACAACCACAGAAACAATTGTTGCTGAGGTACAGAAAACTAAAAATAAGTGATACTAAAACACTCTAGTTCATGAATATAATTAAGAGTATTGGTAACTAATGTGGTTGCGACTAGTTCTCACATAAATGCTAATACCTATACACATCTATTTAGGTCTAATGTTATTTTTCACGAAATCATTCCATGAATAATTATCTTTAGAATTAAAAAGAATACACTAAAAAGTGTATGTCTACGATTATGAAATAGACTGAAAGGTATTGTCTTCTCACTTTCGATAGCATCAATCACCTGCTTAATCAGCAATTGGTCAATTTGGGTCAAGTACTCAAGGCCCGGAGGACAATTGATCACAGCTGGTCTTTGCATCCACATAACTAAAATAAAAAAAACCTTCAGTTATTTGTATCTATTGAATTATACGATATTATCACAGGTTCTTTGTAATTTTTTAAATGAAATACTAAGTCTAATGCTATTATATATTCACGAAACTACAAAGGATTCACTTGACAATATAGTGAATGACTGATAACCAATGATAGACTGTGAATAGTGCTATCTATTTAAGTTACTGACAATGTGCTGAAGATAAACACGACTATAAAAAATTCTATGAGTTATCTAAACCTTGCAGACACAAGCGTTTTTGAGTAGAGTAATAAAAAAGGTGTTGTATTCAAGGAACAAACTGTAAATGGAGTCAAAAAAACAATTGTTTTGTGATATATATATATATATATATATATATATATATATATATATATATATATATATATATTGGTGTACTTGAGTCAAATCTGACAGAAAAATGAAAGACTTTATATCTATATTATTTTTCTGTGGGGTGAGGTAGGAAATCAATAATATAACATTTGAAAGTGTGGAATCACGATGAAATTCACACTACAGATCATTAAATGGTTTGTCAACTAAAAACCCAACCACTTTAACCGTCCCTTACACAATAGTTAGTAAAATTCCTTTTCCTGGAAAGTTCCCAGCTTTTACAGACTAATACATTGATAATAAAGCTATTAGATGACAGCTTTGGGTCTTCAAAACCCTGAACTTACCATGGTATAAAGTGACCCATGTAGCAGTTGTGAATACTGATGTAACCAGGAACTTGATGGAACTCAATAAACTAATACAAATTCCTTTGTCAAACATTGGTATTTATTCAATATAGTAAAAACCAGAACTACTGAGCTTCCCGAAACTAAAGTATGTAGATCGGATTAAAAACTTGTAGATAATTGGAAATCAAGTCCATAGGCCAAGAAGTCACCCTAAGCCTAGGATCTAATACTTAAAGAGTACCTGTAATCTTCCACTAAAACCGAAACTAGGGCCATCCTTCAGTTTTGAGTCGTAGACTACTGACAATTGAATAGAGAATATAAAAAAACCCGGCGAGACTCTAATTTAGCGACGAACTAATCAGAAGCGTTCAAGTAATTTCAAGGTCATGGAGGCAAGTTCAACACCCGATGCTGACATACGATCGTTTCACAGCGGATTTTACAGATGTGATTATTGAGAGGTTACAACAGAAGGGACTATTGAGAAGTTCATGTACGTGTGACTGCGGTCATCAAACGACTGCAGCAAAGTCTGGAGACCACCATGAAGAAATAATGCTTCGTTGTTCTGCATGATAACAGTGGCGAACTGGGTAATAAGAACACCAGTAACACTGGCTGCGGCGTTTGCAGACGTTACTGAAACTTCAGCGGTCCAGTGGTATGAGTACTGCCGCGACATATGCGCGACCAAAATGACACAAGTACATGAAACATTTGGAGGAGTTGGAAGGATAGTGGAAATAGACGAGACACTAGTTAGAAAGAGAAAATACAACAAAGGACGTTCTATTAAGGAAGATTGGGTAAGTAGTACTTCCGTAAATATACTTGACAGGTACTTGGATTTTACGATCGTTCTACTCAAAAGGGACATTTACAAAAAGTGAGGAACCGTCAGGCAAGGACAATAATACCAATAATAGAGGAATACGCCCAGCCTGGCACGACGATCTATACGGATGATTGGAGAGCCTACAGATGCCTCGAGAGACTTGGGTTTGTGCATCGTGTTGTAGTGCACAAACGCCATTTTGTCGACCCGACGACAGTTCACACAAACAATATTGAAGCTATGTGGTCCAGACTGAAGGAATTATTAAGACCATACCACGGCCCTAGAGGACGACTGTTATGGAGCCACATGGACGAGTTTCTTTACAGCATGCATTACAATTTCAGGACTTCTGAACCTTTTTCGAACCTAAACAACTTTTTAACTCATGTAAAAGAAGAATACCCACTGTAATTCATTAGTGTTTTATAATATATTTTTACTTTATCCTGTCTTCTGATTGACTAATAATTGTCAGGGTCATTTGAGATTCGTTCAAAGGTCGTCGCTAAATTAGTCTCGCCAAAAAACGTATGACCTTTACATGTAACCCATCTATAGGGATGTGGGGCCCAGTTTTTAATATCTCGGAGGCGAGCTAGTACGGACTGATCGACTTATTCGCGCTCGCCTTTCGGTGTTGAGGTTCGGTTCCAGAATTTCATTACCGCTTAATATTGACAGTATAGATACTCAAATGTACCAGCTCTTTCCAGTTAAGCAATAATAAATAGATGGTTGCGTTCACCCTAGAACATTGGGGTTGTTATTGTGATATAGGATAAATGGTCTGTTGACTTTAATACTAAAGATTTTACGGTTTGAATCAAGAAAAATAGTTGAAAGATATGAGTCTCTGGTAAACAAACAAGTTTATTAGTCAATCAAGAAAGTAATATGAGCGGATAGATAATTAAATAAACACAGCGAGCAATGTTATAACAAGAGATGAGGCATAACAATAATCATTATATATAAAGCGATAGTGAGTGAATCCCAACATACATTTCACATATAAATAACAAGAGCCAAAACATCATTCTTTTATTTCAACCCCCATTTAAGACAAAACAGGGCAGGGTGTGACTACACACAAGATTTTTGAACCTTTTTTGAAGCTACATATCAAGAGGGCCACATGAATATGTAGCAAGATCAGCTCTAAGAGCTTCTGGAAAAAAACCTGTAACCGTACCGAAATAACAATAAACGAGCACAACCCGGTAATTAATTGCTCATTAAAACTAGTGATATTAATTAGTGTTTTACCGTGAGAATATGTAAAGTCCGTATGGGATTCAGCACTTCGACCGAGGATTCGTAAAGTTGCGGAATGCCTTTACAAACGGCCTAGACTTCACAAAAATAATCTTCAGTATCCAATATTCTCAGCAACTGGAAAGGATTGCTTATGATAGGGTTGAGTGAAGAATGCTGGTGAGCGGCCTAAGCTCTTCCATTAAGATTATAAAGCGTATGTAAGTGATTAAGTATCTAATATTTCCGTGCTCAGATAGTGACCGAGCTAATAGATAGCAGTTATTGTACTCACAAATACAACGTTCAGCAGCGGTGCTGACTATCAACAACATAGGCCTTTACATCGCCATGACAACTAGCATGTGCAGACTATCTCTCTCTTTACACCTCACGACCATCAGGCTTCCTCATCTGATGGCTGTGAACTTCAGGAACTGAGAGGACATGACTGAGGCGCTTCAGGCCTAGTAAGTTTCAAAAATCATCTCTTCAGTCACATCAGGTGTGTAAGTCGATCCAGATCGGCAAGGCGATAGTGAAAAGGCCCAACAAACACACTACTGAGTCTGCTGACCATGATCAACAAACTACGGTACAAAACACAGAGACCACGGTCTTGCTAGTGAGGTACTCCATACAAGTCGCAAAAGCCCACAGGAGCCGGTCGGCTAGGAATCGACTAACACGCTTTAAAAAACGATCTGCTTAAAAACCAGAAAACCAATGGTGCTGAAGAGGAGTACCAGGTAGTGGGACAAACCATCAAGTGCCTCTACAGCGGCGTAGGAGAACTAAGGAGTAAACTAGGAGAAGTCGGAAACATGCGCATAGATCGGGAGATCATAACATTCATAACTGAGTGATAAACCAGAGACAAATTAACACTAAAATACATAAACTTTAGAGCAGCTTTAAGTTGGTGCGCTTTAATATGCACAAATTCTCAAGTAAACTCATAGAGACATTATTTCCCAGCCACACGATCCTTGAAGTTGAATATATGATAACTGGTAAAACTTACGTTGGCCGTTGAACACCTAGGTAAGTCCGAAAATGGTTGACATGAAAGCACTCAATAGAGATGGCGCGGTCGGTAATGCCAGATTGATCATCTTGTGAAACCTCTTACCTTTCAAATTAAATACATCACTGTGTCACAACCGTGAATTTATTCTGTAATGGTATTTTGGAAAAAACATCACGTGCTATCACAATAGGACGAGTCAGTACAGACGACTATGAAATTTCGACGTAAGATCTTATAGATTAGGTCGTTATATCACGGAAAGTTTATGCTAATGGATTTCATTTATTGTTATAGTAGCATACATACGTTCACTAGTACCGGCCTAGGCCCAAGTAACGCAAACGTATCTAACAGTGTAATGTCAGACTAATATATAACACAAGATATAAACCTTAATCACATAACCTTACTACAGATATAAAGACTGCAGGAACACACCAAAATCGGCAGGATCATTGTTTTGTATAAACAACTTATAATAGCAGGGAGAATTACTTTCCTACACCAATTCCTGTTCTTTTCATGTATTCACATGTTAACCCTAAGGGCTTCTTGGATGCTTGCATGTTTTTGTCCATAAACTAATTAGTTGCCCATCTATTCGTAAGGCGTATCGGCATCCTATGACCATTCTATGACACCACACACATCATTCGTTTTCCATGTGCTATGCACGGCGTAATCCTTTATCATAACCATCAAACAAACATGTTTCCTGAGTTCTCTTTTGATACCCAAAACGTCTCGCCTTACTATTTATGGTGATGCACACACTAAAACCTTAGAAATAACTTGCACCATTACTCAATAAATCTTAATGAAGAGGCTACCTGAGTGGAAAAATGGAAACACTCAGAAACTGTCTGTAAAACCGTTTCCAGCATAGATAATGTGAGTCTATTCCTACCTATTCTCCACCAGTTTCAATTTTTACCATTTTATTGCTGTCCGAACATTAACTTCTAGTGGGTGATATTTTAATAAGTCGACTCGAGAGATATGTCAAAAGGACATTCACGCCGCCAAGTTACATGTAATCTTCCCGACCAAACCAGTAACTTCACAAGAAATAAAAGATAATTTGTCGATGATGGAAATTTCCCCCCTATGGATTTTATCCATATGATTTATTTTATTTCTATCTTGTTGATTATAACTTGATACTCTAGTATAAATCATTCTGATCTTTGTTAGATGACATTTCCAGTTGAAAAATCACACAATTTTGAAGCATTTATGTCGTAACGGACGCAAAAAACATCAATTTTACGCTTGACATAGTCAAATTCAATAATGCGTGCATGATTCTGAACTTTGTAAAATATCACAATAATTATAAATTAATAACTGTAGAGTCCGGTGACAAAATTAGTCCGAACAAATGATCGCTCAAATGTTTTTTGGCTTTGACAAACAGATTACTTAATTCTTTTACCTATTAGTTTGTTTCTGTTGACACATTTTGTCTGAAGTCCCAGGCTTTATGCCGTTATGCATTACTATTTCGGTGTCCCATGAACTGTCTATCGGTTTTAACTGTCCAGTTTGCTTGTTCTAGGTACTTGTAGAGCCGGTATTCACTTTCAGGGTGTGGAATAAATATCTTTTAGTTGATGCATAATTCTAATCTAACCATCACTTTAAAAGGGCTTTTTATCTAAGAAAGATGGAGGTTGAAATTACTGATCAGCAAACGTAGATGGTGAGGGCCATGATTTCAGTCCCTAATGTTTGTGGAACGCATTTTAGTTGTCCTCAGTTCTTTACGATTAGTGATGAGGCAATAATTATCTATATTGGATTTTTCCTCCTATGTTTTCTGGGTGAGACTATAATTTATGGAAAACCTTTGAGAGACGCTAAAGTGACCTTGAGAGTGTCAATCTAATAACTCGGACCAAATGCGGGTGGTAACCCAGTGTGAGGGATTAGAATTATGATTTCTAGTTGATGGTTATGGTTAGGAATTCGATTTAGGGTTTTTCATCACGAATTGACATCATCTAAAATGCCAAGACGCAACTTAGCCAAATAAGTGGGTGAATTTAGCGCGAAAATCTAAGATCTGTTGTTTTAAATGTGATTGCTTCGTTCAGTAAATTACAGTTTCGACATATTTTGCTTCTTGTACTCGTGCGTTTAACCTTATGAGGTTTATACGCCTCACTAAGTCGTCCTGTCATATTTATTTTTGGACGCTTGAGCGCAGTCCTAACGGTTGGCATTCGATAATAAGAATAAAAAAGAAGGGGCCATAAATATGTAGAGGCTATGTCGATACGTAACTTGAGAGTTCATACATATGAGATTTCTGTCGATTTTTAGAAATCAATGGACATTTTTTCCACTTGACTGTTCAGCTTTCTTTCCATTAGCATAGGCCTAACTAGTGCGCGCTACGGACTGGACGTTGCTTTCAGGCCGAGGCCCTCAGTTTTGTTTTTCTAGGATTCTTACAGCGCTGAATGGATTTTTCTCCTAGAATTTCGGAAAATAACTCAATTCTTATCTATTTAAATATAAATTGTAAATTTCATGCTATTGTAGTGGCATTGGACAATAGCCACACAATCCACAAAGCTGTGAACACGAGACTACTCAGAAAATAGATATTCAATATTTAACGCGGAGAAATACCCAACGGTGGGGAAGGCGCGAATAATGAATTGAATGGACTGGAGTTGATCGAGTGGCATGGCTCGGCCATGCAGGCGTGGTCTCTGCTGAATGTTACCTTATATCTTCTATTCATATTAAATATATTGTTCTTTCTCTAGCCTAACCTTGTTCTACATCATATATTGATAATTGATACGATACAGTGAGTTGGTGTAGTCGATGGTGTGACTTCCACGTAAGATCTTATAGATTAGGCAGTTATATCATGACAAATCTACAAATTTAGGACTAGGTCTATTATAAGAGCAGTGCTAATATCATAGTAGACCATAATTCTACACTATATGATAAGATCTCAGTTCAACATATTCATGGTATATATGATCGTATTCATACAATAATTCCTAATCATATTCATTTTGGCTATACGATCGAACAAGAACCATGTATATGCGAAACCATATATACTCATACTCGACAAAGAATTGCATTTCATATTTTCATTCTATTCCTCATATCTTGTTTGGATGCTATAACCCACGTACTTTATGTATTCACGGGATCTATTCATACCTCTACCTAATATCAAGATACATATGTAATCGTGTATGACAAAGCACTGTACTCACTATTTTATATACTAGCCTTTAAATTGTATTTGGATGCTATAACTCATTTAATTTCCGAAATTACCTGTTCAATTCGGCGAATCTGTCATAGATTTCGGTAAGTATTTTTATCCATAAAGCTGTTTCATATATATGGTCGCAAAGTACCACAATAATCGTAGATTGTAATAATTTTTATATGAGGCTATCTTTCCGTGTAATATATGTGTTAAAATTCACACAATGTGCACCTTTATCTTACCTCCACAAATGTACTGACACACATACTGCATCTTTACTACAATCTTCCTGCCATTCTACCCTCCTGTTTTTGATACCTTCACTAATCCATACGATATATTCACCCTTGCTTCAAACATAGGTTTTGATTTCTAAACTGTTTTGAACCCTCGGCATTGACTTTTCACTCATTTCTATTTCCAACATTTCGTTCACTCCATCTGCTATTTATCACTTTCTTATCATTTCACCAACGAAAACGAATGCCCATGCTTCAATGCGTCCAGTCAAACATGGAAAGACGACACAATCTAATGCTACTACCGACACGATTTCCGAGAGTTTCGACGAGACGAACTACTTTGTTCATCCGAAAGCAGTCAAGTTTACACCAGCTGTCTCCATTTCAGGCATGTTGAGGACTCTATTGGTAAACAGTGATGATAATCACAACTGCAACCATATGGATGATATAAAAAAGTTCCAAGTTGACATGAACATTCTTAATCCGCCTAAGTATCTCATCAACCCCAACCTCTTAGAGACTCCAGATCAAATGAATGATATAAATAATTTCCTAGATCGTGTTGTTTCAAGAGTATTTGAAAGAATAAGACAACCTAGCAATGCAGCTGTGTTTAATATACCTAACACATATGCACCTGAATGTATCGAATCTAGTCTTATTAAAGCCGGCAACATGACACATGTACCATGTGTGTGCACAAGATTAAAAAATCACCCTGGTATGCACTTACCGATCTTGTTCAAATTCAACTAGTCTGCAGATGCCAGTAAGTTTCTAGCTTTCTCCAATGCAAAGAGACAACATCAGATTTTCAAGGATATTAAAATTCTTCCAGATAGGAGACCATGCCAGCGGAAAGCAGAAATAGCTGGTTACAGACTACCAGAGTTGCAAAACTAAGTCCAATTCTAAGAGGACATGTAACTTTAGAAATATGCCACCACTGGTAAACTTTACTGAATCTCCTAAAGTTCAAAACCGAGGAGAAAGTTATCCCGACGTGAGTGGTGTTTATCCTCTCAAGAATGTTGACTTAGATCTAACTCTAAGTAGTTGTGCTGATGATGAATGGGATAACATGGTCCAAATCCCTGTCAGTTCAACATCCAGTTACAGTGACTGTGCACATAATAACCGCCACCCGCTAACTAGTCCTTTGAATCTTATATTAGTTAGTGTATGAGTATATGTGATGACTAGCACTCTTTAAAGAAATACCGAGTGCATAAAGTTTTGCGTGATTTCGAAACGAAAGGTTTTGTAAAGCATGCACTACTGCTGTCATATCACTCCATGTTATCAAATAATGAGTTTACATGGTTACTTCCGAGGCAATCCCTATTTGGACTGTCGCACAAACACAGGACACACTAGCAACATCTCTTTGCTTGGATAGACAGAGATTTTGTTTTTTCGTTAAAACATAAAACGGCAGTTCACAAGACAATTGTTCTGTGACTAAAACTTTAGTTTTTTATAATTCAAGCATCCCCTTATTGTCTTGTTTATGTATCACTTACATCTGAGTAGTGTGAACATTGTTATTTCTCATTCGTAATTTTGTGTCTCCAGGTTTTCGAGGTACTTTATAGCAGGAGTTTTGAGTCATAAGTTAACAGGTTGCAGTATTTAATGACTGGAAGAAACTTGTCTGCCAATGAATACTCTGCTGTGGTTGTACACGGATATTGACTCGTCAGTAAAGAGATGATTGTTGCATCATTGAATATTAAGGTAGCTGATTTTATGGTAAAGTAAGCTGGTAAATCATTGCTAAGATCACGGAGTACAAATGTTACCATGGAAAGTACCAGACAATACGAACCCCAATAGAACTCATGGGATCTATTCATTTTGAAAAGAAGGCATTTTCATGGCGCTATCCTCTGGAAACGTCCTTTTACTACAAAGTAAAATTTTTGGGAGACGTAGACATTCATGATATACAACAACTTCCAGAGGATAATATCCAAATTAAAATTTTAAAAGTTAGTACTAGGTTAAACTGTGATTCTGAGTGTGCAATACGGCTTATCTACAGCGTGATGGATATCATGCATAAAATTCTGATACCTGTATGTCACAAGCTCTGATACAGGAGACGTACACTTCATCTCCGTACGATCTGAATTCGGAAGCTCTGACAAAGTGATTTTCTCTTGAATCTAAGAGAAATAATTCCGAAGCATATTTGTTAGTTTGAGAGTAAGAGTTGCACGTATATTCTATCAGTTATATTCATCCAAAGTGGAAACATGGAAACACTAAGTGGGTCACCAAACCAGTTTATTATACCAGATTAAAATCCGCTCAGACTGCTTTGAGACGCTGTTATAAGTTTGAGGAAGGTTATCACGTCTCTGTTGCCCATATCGTGGAAGGGTTCTTCTAGAAGTAGAGTTGGTCTTAGTGAACTGGGAGCGTGACCGCAGTACTCAAAATACAACTGCATGGGGCCTGTTACATACAACGTCTTTGTGAGTAACCTTTGTGGTAGCTCTGCACTTGATGAGACCTTACGGCCAGGAACGGATATCTGTGGGATAAGGTGAGGCGTTCAATTTTAAGGTGAGCCTTTCTTACTCCACCCTCCCTCGTGGAAAGACAGCATCGCTGTTATACTGGTTGTTTGAGGGAAACACCTTACTGCCGTCACACCTCTGTACAGTCAGCAGCACGACTTCACCTTCGGACCTTGGATATGCTGCTCTTAGTCTTATCATTTTTCAACCAATCTACCTGGTGTGGTAGCCTGATCAGCCTATTACGATCGACAAGTCCGAATACCACGTCAAAGTAGCAGCCACGGTCGGGTGTGGCAACTTGAACCGATGCTTATATGCGCCTGGTCCTACGTTGTAGTTGACTGATTGACTGTGAGTGATAAAGAAAAGGATATAACCTAACCTGGACTCATAACATTATGAATACACTATGAAATCATCTAAAATGCTTTCTAACTGGTCATATCATCCACTTAAGGGGGTATATTTACAAACTGAGAGTTCAGAATTCTCGGTTGGGTTGTCGGTACACCGATTACATATTGTTGGTAATCGCTTAGGGCAACTTCCTGCAGCTCTAAGAAGTCCGATAAACTTATACGGTGTCACATGAAAAAAACGTTTTTAGAAGGAAGAACACTGCGTCTCACGTGAACTTGCCTAACGTTTTTATACCTTTGCTTCATACTAGAGATTTTGGTAATCTATTGCATCTAGATACGGTAGACAGCTTGGCAAAAATTTCTTTTCCATACACGACTTTCTGATGCACCTGATTACCTGGCACTTCTATCCTTCTACTTTGCCATTAGTAGTTTAGTCCGGTCGCAACCGTTCCAGACTCCTTTTAACTTCACATACTACTGAAAACAGTTCTTTTGCATGATCGAATGCACTTGAAAGCCATCTATTAGGAGTCTAATATGAAGTACTTTGGGATGGTTTGATATCAGCCATCAAAGCGTGTAACAGTATATATATTTCACGAAGTGTGAACTGTGTAGATTAATGTATCATTTTATTGTTAGACGAATTATCGTCTGAGTATGTATGATCCGCAGATTCTATGCAATAATACAGCCTTACAGGCATACAGGTATATGATAATAGAAGCCAGTAAGGGTTTACAGAATAGCCAACAGGATCAAAGTAACAATTATCTTATGATTCCGTTGATCTATACTACTTAAGACAAGTGCAGGCTTACTTTGTAGTATGATCTCCGTATTTAAAGTGAATAACTTGAGGTTACTAAGTCACTTCATATACTTTGTTATCCGTTTAAAGACATCGATAATCCTTGATCACTAGACACGAAAGATAGATGAATGAAGCAATAATAACTCACTTTTACCGAGATTTGAAAAAATTATTCTGGTTTATTGAATGTGGCTTCATCTATTAGTACGAACCGTCAGATCTGTCTAGGAACAATTTTTATCTCTAAATCGATCGGAACACCTATCTTTATAAGTCCAAGGCTAAGTCTCCAGGATCATTATCTTAGGTAAATTTTAGAAAAGTCGAAATAAGTGAGATTGAGCACAAAGCTTTAAAAAAAGGACGTGTATACCACGACATAAGTCGTTGCCTATTTTCTAAGAAAATGATATTATTATCCCGATGAACCAAAAGATTTACGTTTCTTAAGCATACGTTTCAGGTTTAATTATAGTGCGTTACTTCACAAGGTTCCGTTAACCGCGGTTGGATTGTTAGCCGTTAAATCATCGTCTGTAGGCAGTTCCAAGTGGAGGTTGTGTCTGTCGTAAAGGTTTCAAAAGTTAATATAGGCTGTTTAGCTACCCGTGTTTACGATTGAGAGCTGATTTGGTCATTTGATGGTGCGAATAACATCGTTGAAGCTTCTTCATGTTCAATCACTTCTTTGCATATTTTATATTTCATCCTTTATTTTCGGGTTGTTCGTCCCTTTGTTGGTAGATTTACTGTCTCTTCCTTTTTCGAGTATACATGACATTTACAGGCTTTTCACTTTTCACTTAGTGACAGATGAGATTTGTGTTTTCATTTTTACAATTCTGGCCATTTTTATTTATGCAAAGCTTGTATTTCATGTATGGAGCAGAACTGAAATACTTTTCTTCTATTGGTTCGTAAATACAAGTGCCGGAATACTTGCGATTTTCCCAGAGATTTTCTTTGGTAATAACATTTTTGTCAAACGTATCAATGGGAATTCTGCATTTTTGTCTTCTGTACTCATAGTTCTTATCCAACTAAGTATGGATCAATCGCTTGTAAAGATCAGGGGTTTTGACTTTAAATCTCAATATGGTCTCCCCGCTGTGTCGATTACATTTTTGTGTTTGTGGACAGTAGGGTTTATCAGGCTCTCTTCTGGTATTTTGTTTTGTTATGGGATCCTGTGTAGTTGGTGCTACCTTCGCTTTTTGCAACGTCATCCTCAAGGAAGGAGAGGCGATTATCGTCCAGTATTCGCGTTCGCTAGGTTTGCATAAATTTTTATTCCATATTGTTTGCACTATTTTTAGTTGGTTGTCCTCCGGTAAAATTAGTGTCACTATACCCGCATATATTTCTGCCAAGTTAACGTACCCATCATTATGCGGCTTGCTGAACTTGTTAGTGTTAATCTTTCTATGTATGTGTGGGTTGAAACTTTGTTTTCATCTGCCGAATCTAACATTCAGAATGATTAGTCATTTTCTAATTTAATGTGTTTACCTGTTCCAAAATTGATTTTCACTTGCCCCCATAGTTTTATTTTGGCAATATCTTTTATTTCAATCATTCGCTATCCGAGTACATTTCAGAAGTCCTCATCATAAGGTACTCATTATTTTTATTCATATAAAGGACGACTTCTGATACTTTAGGACGCTTGTAAGAAATACATCATAAATGATATTGTAAAAAGTAAATGAAAGAAGGGTAGTACAATCAATAATAATAGTATTCACTCAGTCATAAATTTCATTTAGAATTCAACCAAGAAGAACTTCCAATTCATAATAGTGATATCAATTTTATGAAAGTAATAAAAAACAACGGCAGGGTCACCATCGGTTTCTATCTTAAAATATGTTTGGTAACATCTCAATTTATCAAGCTATTTTAATGTTAGTTGCTGAAATTCTGGAGGTACAATTTCATGTTAATCCCTTTCATAAACTCAACACCAATCCGTTGTGAAATTATTTGTACAAATCTAGACGGAAGTTTCCACACAACAAATTCTCACTTTTTTCAGTTTATTACCAAACTGAACTATCTTGTTCATATAATGTGGAAATGCTAAGACGTGTAATTCTGTTACTGTATTTATTCTTCCAGTGAATATTTCGGCTTGTTCGGTATATTTATGACGTTTGTTTTAAAATGAGCATAGTTTTGGCTGTTTACTTTCTCATTGAGAATTTATGACCTTAAAAAGGTGACTGTTTAACTTCATATCTATATGTTGCTTATCATTTCAACATTAATACAATGGACAATTTTGTTTATTTCTTAGACTCTTCCCCGAACCAATAGACAAAGTAGTCTCGATTCCTTCCAACGTTTTTTATCAACTTCTACTTCGAACCAAGTTTTGTCCTGGACTAAAAAGAGAAAGTGAAGTTACTGTAGAACCTTTACTGACCTTCGGCCCACATGGAATGGTATCTTCTGATCCAGAACGGCATCGGTAAGTTTCGTTAGTATAAATATTATTTAGTGGACGATAGGCTACTGTATTAATAATGTCGATATTTTTGTGTACTGACGATTCTAGTTCATTTCTATGAAGTGTTTATGTGACAATACACGTTGTTTCTCACATTGACTTATGTGTGAATAGTGAAGAATGAAAATCTTTTTAGCACTGGAACTATTTTACTTTCCTTGGAGTCGCGCAGTCTAGTCTGGGTAATTTGATTCTTTTATTGTTTCTCCACAACGTTAGCACTTCAGATAAAAAGTATCTGTTCAAACTACTAGATCTAAAAACTTAACTAAAATTATCCTCCTAACCTACAAGTCCTTTTTCCATTTTAAAGCTGGTTTACTGCATTTGTAAAACCAGTGGACATTTAATATTACCAGTCATTTGACTAAATTCCTCAGTAGAAAATGCACAGATCATTAGAAATCTGCAGTAGCAATGACATTCCGATTTTGCCTTATAGACTAATTCTTACTGTTCTTATGAGATTTAACTATCTAATGTTAATGACAAAAAACTAGTAATTTGCCCCTGGATCCTTGAAGGCGTAAACTCACCCACTTTTATGCAAGGTTTAAAATTTCTCCCACCTATGTCTACCTTTTAAGCATTTATAATGTTCAGTATGGAATCAGTGAAAAGAATGTAGCACAGTAATCTTACAAACATATTTTAGGCATGTGAGCAATAGTTTTGATATGTCATCTTGCAAAATCATATGTATTATGAATTTATAACAATTTTACCGCGGTGATTATTGTCCGGTATATACCGAACCGTAGCTGCTACCTTGACATGGTGGTCGGGCTTGCCTATCGTATTGACCCAACCGAGCTATATTGGCTGGGACATATGTTCCTGTAGGTTCTACCATGCCATGCAGGTCGATTGGAGAACGGTAAGACTAAAAGCAGTAACTCAAGGTCTGAGGGCAAAGTCGTACTGCTGACTGTAGAGGGGTGTGACAGCAGTAAGGTGTTTCCCTCGGACAACCAGCATCTGCAGCGATGCTGCCTTCCCATAAGGAGGGGTGGGGTTAGAAAAGGTCGACCCTAAAAATGTCACACTTCATCTTACCTCACGGATTTCCGTCTCCGGCGGTAAGGCCCTTTGAAGAACGGAGCTAACACATTAAAAACCTTCAACGACAAGGCTTTGCGCAACCGGCCTCAAGCAGTTGTCCGCTGGGCTCTGCGGTCACGCTCCCAGGTCGTTAAGACCAACACTAGTCCGATTTCCTTTTCAGGTTCCTCAAGAAATACCCTTCCACGGTGTTGGCAGCCGGGAAGTGATATCAGCTCTCATACCCGTAACAGCACACAAGACCAAGTTGGTCACATTCAAATCCTTCCTATACCTCCTAATACCTGTCTTATCTTCACGACTAACCCTTCTCACGTCCCTTTATCACCTCTCACCGCTAGTGCAAACGATTCGAGTACGCGGAACGTTATTCCTGACCTACTGTAACCACTCTCTAAACTACACGTAGGAGCTTTTAACGTCTGAACACTGTGCCGAATAGGACAACAGGCTTCCTCAGTTGGGACTTTAGAATCTCGTGCCATCGATGTGTGCTGCGTCTTCGAAACGCGCATACAGGATCCGAGTAGCGTCATTCATTTGACCTCACCATGTCAAAATAAAGAACCAACTCGATTCACGCTTCGTGTATCTGAAAGCTCTGATGCTGATTCTCGTGGCCTCGCTGATGTAGGTATAGCATTGATTCCTAGGGCAGAACTAACTCTGCTAGACTGGATCCCTGTAGACAGTCGTTTGTGCGCTGTCCGACTAAACGGGACAGTAAGGACTCGGAAAGATAGGGACACTCGTCGTTGCCTATTCGTCGTCTATGCCTATTCTCCCACTGACTGCAGCTCAGATGATGTAGGAGATGAGTTTTACAGAAAGATTTCCGACCTCCGAAAAGCTAGGCACTCTTATTAAGTAATAGTGGCTGATGACTTTAATGCTCAAGTAGGTTAACTAAGCAAAAGGGAAAGACACCTGCGTGGATATTATGGTGTCGTGACTCAAAGAACAGATGATGGCGACCGTCTGTTACAGCTATGCTCAGATAACCTCCTGTTTCTTGCAAACACTAACTTTAAGCATAAGGAAAAGCATCTTTCGACACGGCGACCCCCTAATTCGTCCCAACGTTGGACCCGAATAGATCACATCGCTATCAGCCACCGATGGAGGGGCTCTTCTATCGAAGACTGTCGCTCATTCTGGAGCACATGCTTAAATTCAGGTCATGCTCTAGTGCGGGCTTGTATTTTATTGCGTCTTACTGGACGTAGGAAAGACGCTGCAAGGAAACCTCTTAGGGTCCTACCTAATGATAGTCAAGCTAAGAGTATATTTCAGGAACAACTAGGAGAACTGTTAGGCAGCCATGTAAGTAATGCCCACCCCGATGCAGCATGGAATGATATCCGAAAAGCTGTGGAAACAGCAGTGGTATCTGCTAGTATGGTAAACCAAAAGGTTAGGGAGAAACACTGGATCTCAGCTGCATCTACCGCACTGATAGATGCTCGAGAACTCATTCCATCTGGTTGTGAACATAACGAAGAGCGGAGTCAGCTTAAGCGCAAGCTGACAAGAAGCCTACGCAATGATCGTGAACAGTGGTGGGTAGCGAAAGCAAGAGAGATGGAAAAGGCAGCGGCAATAGGTAATAGCAGACAACTCTTCCGACTTGTTAAGAAAACTGGTATTAGGAACGCAACTGTTAGTGAAACTCTCTCGGAAAAAAATGGACACACTACTCACTCTTAATCCGTGAGATTGGGTCGATGGGCAGGAAATTTACGGATCAGTTCAACTGGCCTTCAGCCACAGTTCGGTTTCCCACGATCTCCAGTAGACTTGAATGGCAAGTTGATGTAAGTCCTCCAACTCTTTACGAAGTTGAGAAATCTATAGGAAATCTGAGGCGAGGGAGAGCAGCAGGCCCTGACAGGTTCACTCCTGAGATTTTTAAGGATGGTGGTCCAGTATTAGCAGTGAGATTACTGAGGTCCTAGGTAAAATTTGGGAACTGGACGTAATCCCATCTGACTGGTCTCAATCACTGATTGTGCCAGTCTATAAGAAAGGACAAAAGTCCTCTTGTGACAATCACAGTGGAATCAGTTTGACTAATATAGTGTCTAAAATATTAGCTTCAACAATACTTCGACGCCTAACTAAAGCTCGTGAAGAGTAGACTAGAGAAAACCAGACTGGTTTTCGACCTGGACGTGGTTGTATAGACCAGATATTCACACTACGTCAGGTCCTAGGACATGGACATACATCCAGACGCCTCACAATCGTAGTATTTCTCGACCTTAAGGTGGCGTTTGACTCTGTTCCACTCTGTTGATCGTGAGGTTCTATGGCAGTGTTTGTCACTGAAAGGAGTACCAAAGAAGTACATTAACCTTGTAAGGGCTCTGTACTCGAACACAACAGGTCGAGTGAGAGCTTATGGTGAACTGTCATCAGAATTGATTACCACAAGTGGTGTTCGTCAGGGCTGTCCACTCTCTCCATTCTTGTTTAACTTTGTCGTGGACGTGCTTTTAGAGATGACACTTTCCTCATCTAAATTTCTAGCGGTTGAACTCCTACCTTGTGATTCACTTTTTGACTTAGAATATTCCGATGACATAGTTCTATTTGATGAAGACGCTGACAAAACGCGCAGTGTCTTCTGACCACTCTAAGCAACAATGCAAGCATGTTCGGGATGTGATCCTCCCCCTCGAAATGCAAAATGTTGTTTCAGGATTGAGTTGCATCGACACCCGAACTAATGATAGGAAGTGAAGTAGTTGAGCGTGTCGACTGCTTCACTTATCTTGGGGTTCTCATCAGCTCTTGTGGTCTGGTGTGCGACGAAATCGCAGCACGGATACAGAAGGGTCGACTAGCTTTTACCAACTTGCGTCATTTATGTCGTAGGCGAGATATCCGTCTATCAATCAAAGGACGTGTTTACTGCGCAGCAGTTCGTTCCGTCCTACTTTATGGCAGTGAAACATTTTATTTATTTATTTGAACACATGAATATTGGTACAAGAGAGCGCCAATATATATGCGCCACACAAAACAATGAAAATTCGAAGAGAAGTACAAAAAAAAACTAAGGAGCGCAACAAAAAAAGAGAACAATAACGAAGAGATTGGTGTAGGGTAGTGTGGTAGTAACGAGGGAACGAAAAGGTGCAATCAGAAGAAATCTTTCAGGTAAGGGAGACACAACCACTTTTTATGAAGAAAGTAAATGAAGGTTAAAACAGCAGGATCGCCACTGGTCTTTATTCTGAGCCATATCTGATAACGTCTCTAGCCACTGTGTAGCACCATCTCTCAGACCCCAGCCAGGGAGTCGTGAAGGACCGACAGAAGCCAGCCCTTTGCAGCTTTCTTTCATACCACGACACCATGTCATACACTGACCACCTCTTCGCCTTTTCCAACTAGTCCCAGAGTCGGCAAATAATGCACGACGTTAAATTCTCAGGGACGACATTCGTAGATTATGTCCAAGTCACCGAAGTCGGTGTTTCAAGATGGTGATACCAATTGCCTTATCATCTCTGTGCCCGAACACACGATTCCGAACCTCTGCATTACTGACATGGCGTTGCCACTGAATGTCAGCGATCCTTCGGAGACAGCGATGATCGAACACAGAGAGTCGTCTAACGTCCTCAACTCGGAGAGGCCAGGTTTCACAAGCATAGAGCAGAACTGCTCTCACCGACGCGTTGTAGATCCGACCTTTTACAGCAAGACTAACATCACGAAGGCGCCAAAGGTGGCCCAGATTGGCATAAGCCGCTCTGGCTTTCACTATTCGTGCATTGATCTCATCACTCACACCCCCACTAGCACTTATGCAGCTACCCAGATACATGAACTTCTCGACTACTTCTATCTGTTCACCGTCTAGGGTGAGTACAGGATTGGACTCAGATTGATCACATCGCGATCAGCTACCGCTGGCGTGGTTGTGTACAAGACTGCCGCTCCTTTTGGAGTACCTATCTGGACTCTGACCATGCCTTGGTCTGCGCCAATCTTACCTTACTTTTCAGTGGCCAACGAAGTGACCGCCACCAACGAATTGATGTTAGCAAGCTGGTTGCAACTTCTGTTGCTAGTAAGTATCGAACCGAGCTAGTTTCTAGGCTAGCTACCATTCCACCGAAAAGTATAGATGAGCATTGGTTGCAATTGCATGACGCCATGAAAATGGTGGGTACAGTCAGTTGCGGGTACGCGAAACGTCCCGCCTATAAGCACTGGGTTTCTTCAGGCTCCTTACAACTCATTGAAGCCCGTCGGTCTACTCCGGGTGACCGTGAGTTTGACCATAAACGAAGGATGTCACGTAAGGAAATTGGGTAAAGCTTGCGTAAGGACCGAGAAGCCTGGTGGTCGAAGCGTGCTAATGAGCTGGAAGCAGCAACTGCATCTGGTAATTACCGGAAACTCTTCCAACTCATCCGAGCCACTGGCAGCAAGAAGTCTGGTGTGAGCGAAACAATCTGCGAGGATGATGAGATGCCAATCACTAACATCCGTCAACGTCTTGGACGGTGGGCAGAATTTTTCGAAGGGCAGTTCAACTGGCCTGCTGCTCCGGCAACATCGGTCAGACTGTCCTGCCCTCCATGGCCGGTGACGAATGGTCCAGCAAATGAGGCGGAAGTCCGCAAGGAACTCCAACTCTTGAAGCGCTACAAATCACCTGGCCCAGATGACTTACCTCCGGCTCTTTTTAAAGATGGTGGTGACTTTTTGACTAAGGAATTGACGACGTTGTTCACAAAGGTTTGGGAACTAGAGAGTGTGCCAACGTCATGGAATGAGTCGATAGTTGTCCCTATCTTTAAAAAGGGTTCACGTCGTTCCTGTAACAACTATCGGTGAGAGCAGTTCTGCTCTATGCTTGTGAAACCTGGCCTCTCCGAGTTGAGGACGTTAGACGACTCTCTGTGTTCGATCATCGCTGTCTCCGAAGGATCGCTGACATTCAGTGGCAACGCCATGTCAGTAATGCAGAGGTTCGGAATCGTGTGTTCGGGCACAGAGATGATAAGGCAATTGGTATCACCATCTTGAAACACCGACTTCGGTGACTTGGACATAATCTACGAATGTCGTCCCTGAGAATTTAACGTCGTGCATTATTTGCCGACTCTGGGACTAGTTGGAAAAGGCGGAGAGGTGGTCAGTGTATGACATGGTGTCGTGGTATGAAAGAAAGCTGCAAAGGACTGGCTTCTGTCGGTCCTTCACGACTCCCTGGCTGGGGTCCGAGAGATGGTGCTACACAGTGGCTAGAGACGTTATCAGATACGGCTCAGAATAAAGACCAGTGGCGATCCTGCTGTTTTAACCTTCATTTACTTTCTTCATAAAAAGTGGTTGTAAATTCCTGAACTGAAAGATTTCTTCTGGTTGTACCTTTCCGTTCCCCCATTATTGCCATTTTTATTATTACACTGCCTTACACCAATCTCTTCGTTGTTCTCTTTTTTTAATGCTCCTTGCCTTTTTTCTTTTTCCTTCTCTTTAAATTCTCATTGTTTTGTGTGGCGCACTCTTGTGCCAATATTTATGTGTTCAAATAAATAAATAATAATAAAATGATGAAAGTGTATTCTCTAAAAACATGTCTATGACAGAGTTGAATCAAATTGAGGAGAGCGGACCACCCTGACGAACAACACTTGAAGTAATCAATTCCGATGAAAGTTTCCCATAAGCTCTGACGACCAATAGTGTTCGAGTAGAAAGCCTGTACATGGTTAATGTACTTCTTTGCTATGCCTTTCAATAACAGACACGGCAGTAAGTCCTACTCACTGCCTTCTCGTGGCGGGGGTGTTGTTTACGAAAATGAGAGGACTAAAAGCGAATGTCTGGCGCTTCGGTCTGGGCACCCGGGCAGTAATGCAGCCCACACGCAATTAATGAACTGAAATTGTGTGGCGCATATATGTTTTGCGCACTCCTGTACCAATATATATGTGTTCAAATAAAATAAAATAATAAAAATAATAACAAAACCTAATGATCAATTTATTCGAATGCCACCTTGAGGTAATGGAATATAAGTAATCGGATGTCGGAAAGTATGTCTTTTTTTCCAGAACGTGCCGAAGGTTGGATATTTAGTCTTTGCATCCACGTCCAGGTTTAAAACCAGTCTGGTTTCCTCGGATTTTGTTTTCACGAGCTCTCGGTAAATATCGAAGTATTATTGAGGCTAATATTTTAAACACTATATTAGTTGAACTGATTTCTCTGTGATTTTCACAAGGGTTTTTTTTATCGTTTCTTATGAACTGGGACGATTAACAATCAAGATCAGTCAAATGGGATTACGTCTAATTGCAGTTGAACTCTAAGGGTGCTCGAACCAGTTCATGATTCAAGTCCAAACATGTTCTTCAGAGTGAGTGATATTCTTCTGCCGAACCCCTCCAACGGTGGTTGATGGCAGTGTGATCTATTTGAGTTCGTCGTTTAGTCGGTTGTGGGGGTCGCCACGTGTGGTAGTTTCTCGTTATGTTTAAACTTGGTCTTTGCTAAAAATAGAGTTACTTGAACATAATTGCAATAGACGTTCTCCATTATCTGTTCGCTGAGTCGCAACACCGTAAGATCCACCTAAGTGCCTTTCGGCTTGGTTTGTTTTACTTACTTGAGGATTTAAGTCACTCGTCACTATTGCGTTTAGGTTTGTGGATGAGGTTAGATAGCTTCCCATAAAATTCATCTGTAACTTCATCCGAGCTGCGATCACTGGAAGCTTAGGCAGAGACCACGAAAAGGTAACGTCTTGTATCCCCATTTCCTCGAGTCTTTACTGTCCCGTTTAGTCGGGCGGTGCACAAGTGACTGTCTGTTGAAATCCAATATAACAGAGCCTGCTCTGCTTTTAAACCCAATGCTATAACTACACCAGCGAGTCCACAAGAAGTAGAATTGGGGTCTCCAGATACTCGGGGGGGGGGTAAATGGTGCTGGTTATAATCTTATTATTTTTTTGTTATTTTATTTCTATTAGGCATTACTACTATTATTTATTCACATATATTCTATAGTGTAATTCTCGTTTCCCCCCTTCCTACCTGTCACATTATGATTATTACTTTAGGCGCATTGCTCTGAAGGCTCTAAATGAACGCTTCGCAAAAGCTGGTGTTTCTTCAAGGGCACAAAATGAAGTCATCGAATGGCCAAGCCTGATCGATCCTGATGACACACAAAAGACGGATAACAACAAGTCAGATGAATCCAGTGTGATAATCGAGTTGCCAACTATTACGAATCCTTCAAGTACTGATACTTTAAACACATTAAACTCATCTAATGTGTGAATCTTGAGCTAAGGAGATAGTTTTTATACAATTTATATGTGAGATCCTAGGTTTTGTACCATAGTTTTGACTTATTTTGTTCACTTTATTCATCCAATAACTTCTTTACACTTGGTTTTTTATATTGTAAGTTCTATTCGCTTAAACATGAAGTCATGTATTTTGTTACTAGCTTAAGCGTCTTTTTCCTTGTTATTTTTATGATTTTTGATTAAATATTTTGCTTCAGAGACCTTATCAAGCTCACTAGCGGGACAGTAGTAGTAAATGAAACTGCTAACGGAGGTCGAGATGTAGAGTTAAATCCAGTAACTTGTTTTAATTTATTCGTAATGAAGAATATATCTAAACTGCATTACGAATAGGTTTTGAGTTGTTAATGTAACAAAAGTAATAACTTGTTCTTCCTGCCATTACGGCTTTATCATGACCAACCTATACTCCCTATCTGTAGACAGATGTTACACCGCTTTTCTAGTTTGTTTTTTACTACCGTCCAGTCTATTTTGATGGGTATTTGGTGGGCTTATATAACTTTTCGTTGCCTTGGCAACTGCGGATTCACTACCCAATTATCTGAGTCTCTCTTCTTGCAGGCAACTTAGTTGAAATTCTGTTCCTAATCAGTCAATTTAGATGGTCTATATAAGGAGGTATAGAATTCTTCAGTAGTGTTCTCCGGTAGTTATTGGGGACGTTTCGGAACTGCTGAGAGTAGATAACGGTAACAAAGCTTCATTCACTTGTAATCTGAGTCATCGGTTTGATCCTTATATAAAAACTGAGGTACAATCGTTATCGCAAAGCTTTCGAAAATCGTTTTGGTGCTTCTTCAGATGTCGATTTCGTTTTCTATGTTGAGTTTACTCAGATGGTTTGAGCTGTTTTGGTAGGTTATATATTAAATGAAGCACTATCTGTTCTCATTTTGACAATTTTGAACTACGAGATTAAGAGGATTACAAGATTTAAACTATAAATTAGAGGGCTGATAAACCACAGACTAGTTTCATCATCTGATTCCATAATTTGCAGCTAACTTAATATATTTTCTGTGTTCTCCAAAAAAAACGTGACGAAATTATTCATACAGGGTATTATCACTTGGTTAAATGATGTGTATAATTTTTTACTCCTTTTTTTAAACTTCCCTTTATCTTTTAGAAAATATTTATCTCAAGTGGGTCCTAGAAGGTTGTGACAAATCTTAATCTTCAAGCTAAATGACTAAATTTTGTTCGAAATTCCTTTGAAATTTGTTTTTTACGCTAACTAGAATATTACAGGCTCACATTCTACGCAACCTATTTTTATTTGACTCATGTGGTGGCGAATTTCGTTCTCAGAATGCACACATAACAAAACGTGATTTTTACTACTCAACTCTACAAAAAGTCGTTGAAACTGTTTTGATTCGTGATCCCAGTGTGACTTCTAAGGTTATATACTCTTAACCGGGAAATTAGGAAGTAAAGTTTATGGGAAACTTAAGATCTTTCTTTTTTTAAAATAAAAATCTACAATGGCTTGTATTTTAAAATGTATCTAGTTATTTTATGTTATGACTATGTTGATGTAACACCATAAGTTTTTTTTCTAAAATAGTCCTAAATATCATCATTCGAGAATGTTTCCGATACTCAGTTGTGTATTATGATATATTGAATAATAATTGCCTCTATATTTTCGAATGCCATTTTACTTTTCCAAGCGACTCTTGTCCGTAAACATGCGTGGAATTGAGTGCGAATTCTGACGTGGGGTTTAAGTTCATTGGTTTTTTTCTCACCTCCGGGCAATGCAAGTATGTATCCAAAGTTGATTTGACTTCACAAGACGAAAGCGATGCTGATTCTGTGTTACCAGTAGTCAGTTTACAAGAGAAATTATTCAGTCTAGCCATGTGATTGCTGAATCTATATCTTTCAGACTCAGATCCTGCAGCAAATAGGAGGCGAAAAACAATATTAAAATTACAACATTATCTTTCTAAACATATAGTTATGTGCATATCATACTGTAATGTGTTAACTTATTATTGGTGTAAGATGTGATAGTATCAAAACTATTAAAGTAATTTGATCGCAGACTAGGTATGTATTGGATTATGGTTATGCATCATTTTTACCCCAAACGTCACATTTAATGCATTTCTTATATGCATGGTAAAGCCAGGTGGGAATACTTATGATTTAGTTCAAACTCCCTATTTATTTGTTTGTTTTTGATAAGTGTGTGAAATCGTGTATTTGAAAGTAATTAGACATTTATCAGTGGTATTTATGAAATAACTTTGAGCTGTGTTTAGCACGATAAAAAGTTTAGTATCTTTGGCATCATCTTGTGGATGAAAATGTATGTAAAATTGATTTTCTGTCTTGTTTTTATCTCCTGGTACTATTTTGAAGAAACCTAGTGTCTAAAAGTCCCTCCCTGAAATGAGGTAGTTCGTCATCTCAACATTCATTAACCTTTTAATCAACCTAAACTTAGCAGGATTATGTAAGTGCATATCAGTGAATGTGTCTCTACTTTCTGCTTAATCATTGATAATCTCATGCTTTTAGTTTTTCTATCGAATACTACTTGTGTGAGACAAGGATTCTTTACTAATAGTTCAAAAATTCAAATAATTACCGCTTCATGATTCTTTTGCTAAATGAAAGGGCATACATTCTTAATTTAGTAATGTACATTGGATTCACACTTCCACTAACTGTCATAATTTATAGGTGCCTAAATTTGTTAACTAACGTCTAGGACTTTTAAGCACGTTAGTTTGTTTCCGAATAAACAAAAGCTAAGGAAAGATGGCGGGTCTTTCGTTTTTTTCTGCTCAAGTTTTTGAAAAGATGGTACTATTCCATGGTAAAACTGACCAGGTTATTCATTGAGTACCTATTTTTCAAGTTGCGAGCAGCAGATCGTACAACTTACTCATCAGACTTGTGTTAGAGCCACAGTTGTCCCAAACTTCATTCGTGAAGCACTTTAGCTGGAGTTATTTACGCCTGTTACTGCTCGTGGAGGAACATGGGCAGCCACCAGCATTCTCCATCAAAATCAGTCCTGGGAAATCCTTTCCAGATGTTATTCTTTTGGTGTCTGCTTCCAATTCTCTACTCAGTGTGTTCTTTGGTCTCCCCCTTTTACTTTCCACTTCAGGATCCCAAGTTTGCGCCTGCCTCGTGATGCATTTTGATGATTTCCCCAATATATGTCCTATTCACTTCCAACGTCTTTTCCTAATTTCCTCTTCAACTGGAAGGTGGTTTGTTATCTCCCAGAAAAGGCTGTTGCTGATGGTATCCGGTCAACGGACATTGGGTATCTTGTGTAGACAGTTGTTTATAAGTACTTGTACTGTTTTGATGATGGTTGTTATTTTAGCTCCGTACAGTACCGTCTTGACGTTCGTATTGAAGATTTTAACTTTGATACTGGTTGACGATTGTTTTGAGTTCCATAAGTTCTCCAACTTTATGGATGCTGCCCTTAGTTTGTCAATCCTTGCCTTTACGTCGGCATCCGATCCTCCTTGTTTGTGAATGATGCTGCCCATGTACGTGGAAGTTTGCACCTCTTCCAGAGTTTCTTCACCAAGTATGATTGGGTTGGTGTTCTCGGTGTTGTATTTGAGGATCTTGCTTTTTCCGTTGTGTATGTTGAGGCCTAGTGATGCAGAGGCTTCTGCTGTACTAGTTGCTTTGTTCTGTATTTGTTGGTATGTATGAGTAGAAGGGCTAGGTCATTGGTGAAGTCTAAATCGTCTAGTTGCTCCCAAACTATCTATTGTATTCCATGCTTACGCTAAGATGTGGAGGTCCCATTTAGTTAGAGTATGTCGTTAAAGGTAAAGCCAATAATTTTATCATTCGAAACGGATTGAATTAATTCATAAGTCATGTTAAATGTCTTAATACCATTTGAATTACTCATTGTCCACGGGAAGTCGTAGTATTAGAAGTTTTTTAAAATTCTTTATTAATGTTTGAGTTGACCATAAATATTCTAATTAGTCTTTTTACCAAAAATTCTAACTATTAAGATGTTTTAAACTTGTTTCGATTTCACTGACTTACACTACAGACATTTATGTTAACAACGATTACTGAAAGCCATCGGGACTTAATAAACAATAATTATGGTAACCATATAAAAGTCTTGAGTATCCACAATTAGTACAGTAATGTTTACATCTTAGACTTTTGTTCAATGTGACTTTCGCCTTGTATGTTATTGTCAAACAGGACAGGACATGAGATATGAGCGGCTATTTGATAGCTTATTTTTAGGAAATCTTATTTTTATGGGTCTTTATTCCTAATTATGTTATCTGCTGGAAATCTTTGGTTACTGGAACTGGATTGATAGACTACCAGGTCGTTAGCTATGTAGTGTGGATAGGTCTTTAACTACAGTGACAATAATATCAAGTTACCTGCATTGCGTAATATTTGATCTGCACGTCGGCTCGCGAAATAATTACTTTGTATCCGATTATCTAGTTTAGCGTACAGTCTAGATTCTTTTTTATCGGCCCATTTCAAATCTTTTATTGCATTATATTCTACGTTACCATCTGTGGTTCCGTAATTTGAGTCATGTCGACTAGACGAATTATCTGAATTCACTGAAGGCAATTGTGTATGTTCAATGACCATTTGTGGTAGGATCCATTCATTCTTTTCTGCATCAAATCTATTTTTGTTTGATAAAAAAATATTTGGTGCACTCCAAACTTAACTTCAAAAGAACATAAAATATTGGATGAATAAGTCGAAAATAAATACAGTTTGAACAGGAATTTATTGTATTTTTTAAGTAGTTGGGTTCCAAGAGATACAACTGATTTATGAATTCTTATAGAAATTTATATCAGTTTCCTACGTCCATTTCAATTTCAGTAAAATATAAGTTTACTGTGAACATCCGTAAACATGCTGTAGATAATATGACTAAATGGCTAGTTGAGAGATAAAATGTATACCGGTAAAATCTAGTTTATGGATAGACAAAGGTCGATAGATACACTGAAATTGAGGAGTCTATAGTGAACGAAGACTTAAGGATGACCAATTTATTGTTCGATGACAAACCATATAGTGTCTCAGTAAAGCATTAAAATCATTCGTTAAATGCATCGATTGCACATCTTTGAAATGCCTCTTACAAACCTCATCGTTCATTCACTCCTGTTGTTACATTGATTGCTATCGGTTTTCTTCTCTTGCTTTTTCTTCCTGTTGCCTTCAATTCAATCTTCTGCTGCCAGGCATTCCACTTTCGATTGGTGCTACATACTACTCATACCTGTCACCATAATTAGGATACACTTCAAGTCATAAAATAAGTTATTTCGGCTCAAGTAAATACAAATGCTAGGATCATAGTCGACAAGGCGTTGTTTCCTTAGGACTGTCTTGAATTTTTGGTACTAACTGTTCGTAAGAATACGGAAAGGTATTAATTAAGTTCTAAAGTTCTAGTTATTTATGTAGGTTATGTGCTCCTGAAAAATAATTAACTTTGACAGAAAAGCAACTTGGTCGATAGCATTCGATATGCACTAAGAAGGACCTGACACACATGACATCGATTACCACCCAGCGACCAATCAATTTCGAATACATCTCAGTCCTACAGGAGTTCAGTAGCAGCCCGGATAGCCCAGCAGTAACATTTCTGACATTGAAGCTGGGTGACACAGGATCGAATCTGTCAGGGAGCACTAGTTCCCTCAAAATTACTGGTACACCTTACTGACGAGTGCCAAGTAGCACGAAACCCGAGTCCAGGGTTTCCTGTTGACTACCTTCAACCACCATCTTAGACAGAAAAGAACCAACAGGATACATTACATGAAAATCTGTTAGCTCGAGTTGGATTGTTGTGAAATAACACAAACATTAAACAGTACCTGTTGTAACAAGAAAGCAGCGAATATCCAGTGAAAATGGTCAAGAAGTTAAAGAAATAAGCTGAGTCCATTGCTTACTATGGTTGGTTTCGACTTGGAGTCTAGTCTTCAGTCATTTGTATCTATCATCCAAAGGACCCCACTTGGGAACTTACAACTCCCTATATATATATATATATATATATATATATATATATATATATATATATATATATATAATAAGCATACCTAGCATATTATTCAGCTACTCCAATAGTCCTATGTTCGTAACTTAATCGATTTAATTATCTACTTTTTTACCAATAAATATCCTACTAACCTGTTTATCACTCAGCTAATGGTTTCAGTTATATCTACTGGAGTATACTTGCGATATACAACATGGTCTATTTCAAATGACTAAATTCCACTATCCCCGGGTTATATGGACTTAATCACTGCTCAGCTGATGCCGTTGGGTATCTCACCTGTATTAGGAGCAAGGTAAGTTATGTTGTACCAAATAAAGCTGCATTCAGTTAGAGGCTCGTCTTTGAAGACTGGGATATTTTCCTGTAGAAGCAAAGAGATCGAGAAGCTTCCTACTCTTAAGCTTAATGTCGATCCAGAGCAGGTTTTGGGTACCGTCTCACATCTGACAAGTTATACGTGGTCTTGTTTAGATTTCCAGTTATTCCTCCTGAAAGTCATTTCATATAAACACGTGAAAAAGTTCACACTTACATGGCTGTTCGTTTGATTTTATCGATGTTGTAATAATTGCTATCTCTGCGTATGCATGGCTGAACCTTTTCTAAAATCATATTCAGCAAATTTATTTGTTGTTCTTGGCGTCTTATAGTTTCCAAATAGTCACTTCGATCTTGTTCAAATTCTGACTGAACATCTTTAATTTCCATTTGTAACGCATATACCTGCACATAAAAGTAGAAGTTATAAAATAAGTTTGAGGTGAAAAGATGTATCTGTGTTTGTTTGCTCAGCAATTTACTACAATATCGGAGTTTAAGCAGTCTATGAAGCAATAAGGAAGCAATATTTTTTTATACAATCAACAGGTAATACCAACCTGTTTTTGAAAGGATGGGCTTTATAATATGGGATTAGTTGTTTAACATTTGGTTTATAGGTGGGTCGAATGTACACATTTCAGGTTCTAGAATATTGGGATACTTAGTGACTATTGATCATAATTATATTTCCTGACCTTAGAGTGTTGTTCGACACCTCTGACCAGAAGGTGTTTTAGGAATGTTTTTCAGTAAAAGCCGTACCAAAGAAATACATCAGCCTAGTAAAGGCTCGCTACTCAAACACTACTGGTTGAATCAGAGCTTATGGGGATTAGTCATCAAAAGTGACAATATCAAATGGTGCTCGTCAGTCCCACCCCTTACTCCTCTATTAAAAGTTTCGTCAAATATATCCCCCAAAAAGAAGAACGTTTTTCATCTAACTTTTCAGGAACTGATCTTCCTCCTGGAAACTCAGTAATCGACATAAATTACGCCGATGATATAGTTCTATTTGATGAATATATTAATACAGAGCCTCATGGACACATTGAGTAACAAAGTAAGCATAATTTCAATGCGTTTTTCTCCTTCTGAATGTGGTCTGTGTCATTGCCTAGATTAATCATATGGAGTAAAATAGTTGAGTGCTTTGACCATTTTACTTATCCTCGAAGTATAATCACCCCTAATGCAGTGCTAACTGATGAAATCATGGCATAGATTCATAAAATTCGATTGGTACTTGCCAACTTGCGCCACTTGTGGTGTATGTGAGTTACCCACCTGAGAAGCAGAAGATGAGTCTAATGTGCAGCCGTCCTCTCTATGGTACTCTATGGCAGTAAAAAGAGAGGACATACGTGGGCTGCAGGTTTGTGATCATAGGTGCTTCCGAAGCGCTCCTCGAATATAGTCAGTACTGCTGTGTTTTGGCATAGAGTGTAAGGCCAAGATAGTGATGCTGTCCATAACTCCATGAGTCTTCATTGACTATGCATGAGTAATTCTGATGTATGAAGATTACCTGGTTGGGGTCCGAGAGATACCTGTGATTAATGATTGGAGATGTTGGATGACGTGACTCAGAATTGATCGCAGTGGCACAGGTACATTTCGTTCTACGTCTTGAGTCTAAGTATTACCTTATGCATACACGTTTATTCCTCCCCAATGTTAAGTCTTTATTACTATCACTGTTATTAGGATTCTTTCGAATCCTTTGATTTTAATTTGATTAATTAAATTTCTTCGTGGTGATGTGGTATGAGGCTTGGCTCAACATAAATTTGTGTTAGGCTCTATTTTCATTACAATTAACTAATACAGTGTCTAATTTTACTGCAAAAGCTCAGAATATTCTGAATCTTTAAACTTAGTTAACACGCTGGCCGATGGGGACTCGTTGGTCGTAGGTCAGATTACGGGGACCGTCTACTGCAACTATGCACAGACCACAATCTGTTCCTGGCCAGCACTAACTTTCGGCACAGTCATCGCCGATGTGCCAGCTGGCGTCCTCCCTCTGCATCTCAAGCCTGGACTCAGATTGATCACATTGCGATCAGCTACCGCTGGCGTGGTTGTGTACAAGACTGCCGCTCCTTTTGGAGTACCTATCTGGACTCTGACCATGCCTTGGTCTGCGCCAATCTTACCTTACTTTTCAGTGGCCAACGAAGTGACCGCCACCAACGAATTGATGTTAGCAAGCTGGTTGCAACTTCTGTTGCTAGTAAGTATCGAACCGAGCTAGTTTCTAGGCTAGCTACCATTCCACCGAAAAGTATAGATGAGCATTGGTTGCAATTGCATGACGCCATGAAAATGGTGGGTACAGTCAGTTGCGGGTACGCGAAACGTCCCGCCTATAAGCACTGGGTTTCTTCAGGCTCCTTACAACTCATTGAAGCCCGTCGGTCTACTCCGGGTGACCGTGAGTTTGACCATAAACGAAGGATGTCACGTAAGGAAATTGGGTAAAGCTTGCGTAAGGACCGAGAAGCCTGGTGGTCGAAGCGTGCTAATGAGCTGGAAGCAGCAACTGCATCTGGTAATTACCGGAAACTCTTCCAACTCATCCGAGCCACTGGCAGCAAGAAGTCTGGTGTGAGCGAAACAATCTGCGAGGATGATGAGATGCCAATCACTAACATCCGTCAACGTCTTGGACGGTGGGCAGAATTTTTCGAAGGGCAGTTCAACTGGCCTGCTGCTCCGGCAACATCGGTCAGACTGTCCTGCCCTCCATGGCCGGTGACGAATGGTCCAGCAAATGAGGCGGAAGTCCGCAAGGAACTCCAACTCTTGAAGCGCTACAAATCACCTGGCCCAGATGACTTACCTCCGGCTCTTTTTAAAGATGGTGGTGACTTTTTGACTAAGGAATTGACGACGTTGTTCACAAGGTTTATGTACTTCTGAGGTACGCCTTTCAATGACAGACACTGCCACAGAGTCTCGCGGTCTACCGAGTCAAATGCTGCTTTTAAGTCAAGAAATACCACCATCGTCGGACGCCGATAGGTATGTCTGTGTTCTAGAGCCTGACGAATGGTGAATATGTGGTCGATGCAGCTACGACCAGGTCTAAAGCCAGCTTGGTTCTCTCGTGTTTGCAGTTCACGAGTCTTAGTTAGGCGTCTGATAATTATCGAGGCTAGTATTTTAGATATTATATTAGTTAAACTAATCCCTCTGTGGTTGTCACAGGATGATTTTGACCCTTTCTTATATATTGGGACGATAAGTGATTGCGACCAGTCAGATGGGATAAAGTCTAATTCCCAGATCTTAGCAAAAATATTAGTCAACTTAATCGCCAAAATTGAACCACCATGCTTAAAGACCTCTGGAGCAAATCCATCTGGACCAACTGCCCTTCCTCGTTTCAGATTAACTATAGCCTTTTGAACTTCAGCAAGAGTCGGGGGACCTACTTCAATGTTCCATTCACATTGTCTGGGAATGGAGGGTAGTTGTAAAGTAGCTGAAGGCCAGCTGAACTGTTTTCTAAAATGTTCCGCCCATCGTTCTAAACGTCTGGACTTGGAGCAGATGAGAGTATCATCTTTTTCCGAAATAATCTCACTTACACTTGACTTATTAATTCCAGTTTCTTTTATTAGTCTGTAAAGCTGTCTTGTGTTCCCTATAGTCGCCGCCTTTTCCATCTCTTTTGCTTTCGTTACCCACCACTGCTCACGGTCGTTCTTTAGACTTTTTCTTAACCTAGATCTGATTTGTTTTCGCTCTTCATCATGTTCAGGACCTGATGGGACGAGTTTGCGAGAATCCATCAGTGTGACAGACCTTGAAGAAATCCACTGGTTCCTTGCAACTCTGTGGTTTAAGTCACTAATAGATGTCACTGCTGTTTCCACAGCTGATTGTATGCCCTTCCAAGCAACATCTGGGTCAGCCTCGTCTTCACAACTACCTAAGTGTGACCTCAGTTGTTCCTGGAACCTACTTTTGGTTTTCTCGTTACTCAACTCAGTTCTAACGGGTCTTTTTAATGTGGCTTTTTTGCGTCCAGTGAGGCGCAAGCAGATGCGTGCCCGTATTAGGGCATGGTCGGAGTCCAAGCAGGTACTCCAGAATGAGGGCGCTATCATCTCGCGATCCCCAACCAGGTAGTTTACAAATACCAACATGTCTCAGTCCGCTTGTCAGTGACTTCATGGACTTGTGCCATGTTTTGGTCTGGCCTCCCCCCAGCTTTCTTCCAACCTACACCTATACCAGTGAACATCGCTCGTCGAGTCAGTCGGTACTTGGGCATACGTAACACGTGTCCCAGCCATCTCAACTGATGAAGTTTCACTAGGTCATCAATTGATTTGCTATCCTTACCTAGTACCCGTTTCCTAACAACTGCGTTACTTACTCGATGGTCCCAGGATATAAGTGCAATGTTTCGAAGACACCTATGATCAAATACTAGTAACCTACCAATATCCTCTACTCCTACTGCCATAAAGTAGGACGGAACGAACTGCTGCGCAGTAAACACGTCCTTTGGTTGATAGACGGACATCTCGCCTACGACATAAATGACGCAAGTTGGTAAAAGCTAGTCGACCCTTCTGTATCCGTGCTGCGATTTCGTCGCACACCAGACCACAAGAGCTGATGAGAACCCCAAGATAAGTGAAGCAGTCGACACGCTCAACTACTTCACTTCCTATCATTAGTTCGGGTGTCGATGCAACTCAATCCTGAAGCAACATTTTGCATTTCGAGGGGGAGGATCACATCCCGAACATGCTTGCATTGTTGCTCAGAGTGGTCAGAAGACTCTGCGTTTTGTCAGCGTCTTCATCAAATAGAACTATGTCATCGGAATATTCTAAGTCAAAAAGTGAATCACAAGGTAGGAGTTCAACCGCTAGAAATTTAGATGAGGAAAGTGTCATCTCTAAAAGCACGTCCACGACAAAGTTAAACAAGAATGGAGAGAGTGGACAGCCCTGACGAACACCACTTGTGGTAATCAATTCTGATGACAGTTCACCATAAGCTCTCACTCGACCTGTTGTGTTCGAGTACAGAGCCCTTACAAGGTTAATGTACTTCTTTGGTACTCCTTTCAGTGACAAACACTGCCATAGAACCTCACGATCAACAGAGTGGAACAGAGTCAAACGCCACCTTAAGGTCGAGAAATACTACGATTGTGAGGCGTCTGGATGTATGTCCATGTCCTAGGACCTGACGTAGTGTGAATATCTGGTCTATACAACCACGTCCAGGTCGAAAACCAGTCTGGTTTTCTCTAGTCTACTCTTCACGAGCTTTAGTTAGGCGTCGAAGTATTGTTGAAGCTAATATTTTAGACACTATATTAGTCAAACTGATTCCACTGTGATTGTCACAAGAGGACTTTTGTCCTTTCTTAT